CAAGGACAAGTACCTTGGTTGCAGGCTCCTCCCTGGTTTGGCGCTAGTTGGGGCGGGTGCAGGAGGCAACCAATCAATGTGTTTCTCTCACATGGATATTTCTCTGTCTTTCCCTCTCCCACTCTCTCTAAAAATCAATGGAAAAATATCCTGGGAGAGGATTAACAAAACAAGAGAGTAAATTGTCCCCATTCATCCACTGTGACTACTTCTCAGCACAGGTTCATTTAAGTAAATTTCTCTCAGCAAGGTCACTAACAACTTCCTTCATACTAAATCCAGTGGACAGGTTCAGTCTTTACCTAATTTTGCCTATGAGAAGAAAATACACAACCGTTCCTTTTTCTTCTAGAAACACTCTTCCCTTGGCATAAGTGATAGTATACTCCTGATTTTCATTCTACCTCTAAGACTTCTTTGGCTTACTTTGCAGATTCTTCTGCCTCCCAATTCTATACTAGGCCTTCCTCCCAACCTCCATACTTTCCCCAAGTGATCTCCCATCTCTTCATTTTCCATCTACATGATTCCTCTCAAATCTTTATTCCCAGTCCAAAGCTCTCTGCAGACATGTATTATCTTGTTGCCTCTATTACATTTTCATGGGGGCATTCCAAATACATTTCAGACTCAAGAAGTCCAAAAATGAATACTTCACTTCACTAAACTTGTTTCTCCTGTGTCCCTACCATAATTAATGATGACAACATGTACCCAAAAACACAAGGCAATAACACAAGGTAGAAACATGAGTTACATCCTTAAACTGAAGTTCTTCCTAAATTTCTTTCAAATCTGTCTTCTCTTTTCCAGGCTCACTGAGAAGTTCCTTATTAGGACCTTGGTCCCAATGGCCACAATCTATCGCTGCATTGCTTCAAAAACGTTTACTCATCAATCTTTCAGTTCACTCTCCATACTACAACCAATAATCTTTTTAATACATAAAAGTGATTATATGCATTTTCTTTTAAAATCTTTGTAGAGGTTCATACCTATTACATTTGAAAAGTTTGGATTCGATCCTAACAAAGTTTAAAAAGCCCTCAAAAACCAGGTCCTGCCCAGCCAGTATGGCTCAGTAGTTGAGTATTGACCCATGCAACAGGAGGTCACCAGCTTAATTCCTGGTCAGGGAACATGCCCTGGTTGCAGGCTCATCCCCAGCAGGAAGCTTGCAGGAGGCAGCAGTTCCATATGATGTTTTTCTCATTGATACTTAGATGTCTCTCCCTCTCCCTTCCTCTTTCTAAAATCAATAAAAACATTAAAACAAACAACAACAAAAAACAGGTCCTGCTGATCTCTTCAAACCCAATCCATCAATGTCTAAATTCTAGCCAAACCAAATCACTTTCTAGTCCTTTAACATGTTCTTTCTGCCAGCTATAGCCTTTCTCCCTCTCCCCCACCTCTATATTTGGCTAACTCCCACTTACTCTTTAAGTCTCAGTCTAGACATCTCTCTTTTGAAAGGGGAAAGAAACCTATGACCTCATACATAGTATTAGTTATAGTACGTGCTCCAAGAGCACTATTTCTAATTGCCTGTTTAATTTTCTGTTTTTGACATTATAATATTACAGCAGGAACCATGTCAACCTATCTTTGTATCTCCAACACCTGGCACAGTAAGTGTTTGATAAACATTTGTGGAAGGAAAAAAATAAGGAAGGTGGGAAATTTCCCCAGAAACACCCATGATTGTACAGCTTTCCAATAGAAACAAGTTATCATTTTTAGATAAATACACACACACACACACATACACACACACACACACACACACACACAGTGGCCAGATTATTATGACTGGTCAGATTATTATGACCACCCCATCAGTACAATGAAGTGAATTAGTTATGCAAATAATAATAAAACCTTGAGAGTATTTGTTTAGGAAGTTTTCAATATTCAGTATTTTTGTAAGTGTCAATGAAGTGCTGATGGGGTGGTCATAATAATCTGGCCACTCAGTGTATATGATCCACAAAGAGAAGGAGTTTTCTGTTTTATTCACTATAGTATATCACAAGCACCTAGAACAATGATTGGCACACAGCAGGTAGCATTATTGGGCAAATAAATAAAACTGTAAATATTAGTTCCTAAATTGTCTATACTTTTACAAGCTTTATAGATGCTTTCTTTAAATTATATGTAATACAAAGATATGTAAAAGTTAGTTTTACAAAGCCTCTAACAATTCATATAGCCTATTCAGCTCTCCTCCCTTAAAAGTCTAGCTAGTCTATCCCACTTGGCTGCTTCTCAGTCTTTAGCTTCTTCCATTCCTATTTTCCATGATTACTATTCTAGAATGGAGTACCTTGTCACTCTACTGCTACTCCTGCCCCATTCCTGTTAACTCAGCACCAACCTACATCCAAGAAACTCACTGCATCTCCAGTACTTGTCACTAAAGAGCCACTGTTCTTTTTTTTTTTTAATTGATTTCAGAAAGGAAGGAGGAGAGAGAGAAACATCAATGATGAGAGAGAATCATCCATCGTCTACTGGGAATAGACCCTGCAAAAACCGTGAGTTGACACTCAACCACAGAACCACACTGTCAGGGCACCACTGTTCTGATATGAACAAGTTATCCGTAACTCCTAGTTTTACTAAAAATAATCCTTCTACCATCTCTCAATATGAAAACCTAACAATCAACTGGTGGTAATGCCGTTAAATCCTTACTTTATTTCTGAGACTCAAAGGGTAAAATATTAGCATGTCTCATCATGATTTCTCAACTGCCTCTTCCCTTTTCAAGTCTATCTTGTAATAATAAACTCATATACTACATAGAATTATGGCCTAATTTTCATATTATGTGCTAGATATTATGAGGACTTTATATATTAACTTAATCCTCTAAGCGGCTCTATGAAGTAGAGACTACTTTTATCTCATTTATATATAAGGATACTGAGGCACAGAAAAGTCAAGTAATTTTTGTAAGGCCACTCAACAGGTGGAATAACCTAGATTTGATCCCAAGCAGCCTGACTCCAGAGTTCACGCTCCAAAACATAGTGTACACTCTCACTTTAATACTTATTATTGTTTTCGCCATCTGGATATATTTGTAATTTTCAGGGGGTGATGCAGGGTGATAGAAGGAGACTTGACTTGGAGTAGCGAACACATAATAAAATATACAGATGATGTATTATAGAGCTGCACACCTGAAACATATATAATGTTATTAACCAATGTCAACCAATACATTCAATATTCGAAGTAAAAAAACTTTAAAAAGACAAAAATTTCCTTAATGACTTCAGCATCTGGATCTCTTGATTTGCTTCTCTTCTTCCCCATTCCATCACCATCCTTTGGAACTCACAACCTGATGACCCTCATCCTATGGTAGTCGCTCACAATTATAACCCTTTTACCATGTAAACCTAACAGGTCTTCTCCAGCGACCCCCGTCTTAATTCTACCCAAAGCCTCACACAAGCAGGGCCATGTTTTGGCTCCTCTTAATTTTTTAAACCGCTCCAACTCTAAAATCCAAGAGACTAACTTTCCTCTCTAAGCATAACCAATTATCCTTCCAGCTCCTTAATGCCTGACTAGGACAGAATCTGGTCTTCATTTTCCCTGTGTTTTCAATCTCTTGGACTCCTGTTATCCAGTTCTATTGCTCCCCTTCCCACTCTATTTGTCTCTCCATCCAGGATAGTCAGACACATTTTATGAGCTAACTTCTATTTTAAAAATAAAATGAAGAGTGCCTCAGCAATTTAGGGGTAAGAAATTTAAGAAAAATTTTTTTTTAAAAAAGGTCTTCTTCAGTCTGTATTTTGACTAAGTACCAAGGCAACATTTTGTGAGTAACCACAGAAGTTAGGAAACAAAAATTTAAAAATAACAAGAGCTAACACTTAATGTTAACTGTATGCCAGGCACTGTTCTAAGTGCTTTGCATGTTTTAACTCATTTAATCCTCATCAATCACCACATGAGTTATTATTTATTCCCATTCTGCAGATAAGGAAACTAAGGCACAAAGAGTTTAATTTGCCTATCATGACATTTAAGAGACAATAACAACACTGAAAAACTGTTCACTAGGATTAGTAGCAGGAAGAGACTGCCTTAAAGTAACTCTATTAGAAATAAAACCACTATTTCTTCCAATTAAATCACTAACCCCCAAAGAAAATAAATTCGTTTTTCCCCCTAATTCTTTTGTTGTTGTTGTTCCAGAGGAGGCCTGCTTTCCTTCGAGAGATCTTTCAAGTTTGATATATTTTTATGATCTGTACCCTCCAGCCATTACCAATACTCAGAGTTGACTGGTAAACTTTATTCTCTAAAAGAAACTCCTTACCCACCCCCACCCCCAAACCCCAAATCATGGAATTTCTAATTCTCGTTTTTCCTCTAAGAGAGCTGGAATAATTGCATCGACTTAAAGATATCCATAAACAAGTTCAGTAAGCCCATATATATCCTGAATTCCTCAAGAAGTGAACAAGCTTGTGATTTCTATCTTTATAATGGCTGTATAATGGCTAGAGTTCAAAGTATCAGGCTAAGCAATCACCTGGAGTACTTCAAGTACAACTTCCAACACATGAACAAATCCTGCTTTTAACCGTATTTTAATGGTTTCTGAAAGCCAGTCTTGCAACATTTTCACAAATACGATGTAACTGCGTCGTCCCCAGGGCACCAAGTCCTACATATTTTAACTTAAACATTATTTTCTCCAATGATGATCTTTCAACTCTATACACCACCTCTGACCCAAGGCTCTTTATTCGCTACCACGAGTTGCGAGTTCCCTTCCACGGGCTTCTCGATCCGCGAAGGGTTTGAGAAAAGCAGGGACCTGGGACCTGTCTCTCCTGTGACATCTCACCTGCCCTGCCCCTTCCTCATCTCCCCCCGCGAGGTGCGAAAGTCCCCTTCCAGGCGAGGCCGCGACCGCAGTGGTTCTTAAAAAGAGCGAGCAACCTGCTGCCGAGCATCTGGCATTTGTCTGACCGGTGGTGGGAGCCCGACGCCCGGGGGGATCCGGGCAGGACCCGACGGTCTTCACCAGGCGGGACCCTCCGCGCCCGCGGACGGGAGGTGCCCCGGGGCACCGGGCACCGCACGAAGCAATGGGTGCGCGTCAGCCGCGATCGGGGCAGAACCCAAACTCCTTCCCGTTGCAAGGCAGCTCAGGGAAACCGAGCCGGGGAGAGGGCAGCGCCCGGGCCTAGCGCTGCCCAGGGTCCTGCCAGTAACGCCCCCGGGGGGAAGTGCAGCGGCTCCCGGGTCCGGCCCGCTCTCCAGAGGAGAGCGAGGAAGGCAGGAAGCCAACTCCATGGCCGCCGCTCAGCCCCCTCAACTACATTCACGCCCGGAACCGCTCGGGAACAACCGCGAGAACAGCACCAGGCAGGGTTTCGGCGTTTTACCTTGTATGTCGGTCCCAGCCGACCGCCATGTTTCACAGAAGCCCGGGTCGCTCGGGTTCCCGTTTGCCCGGAAATATCGCGAGAGCCAAGGCGACTCCCACCGCTGGAAACAGCGAAGGGAGACAATGTGGAGTTCTCGCGAGAAGTCCTTTGCTGACGAAGTGTGTTGTGAATCGAGAGGCGTGGTCAGGATGAGAGGGGCGTGACCAAACCGAACGGAGGTTGCAACTTATTTTAGGTGTAAGCACGTGGCCAGAGGAATCCGCTTCTCCAGGAAGGGTGCAGGTTTACCTCTGACTGACCCTTGGAGGCCACAGAAAGAATCTCTCGCAGCTCCTGCTACTGTACTGCTTTTCTGATGAAAGGCTTGGGCGCAGGATTTATCATTTGCAATCCTAATTAATGCATATTACTCCTCAATCTCTGCACCACGCTCCCTGATTTTGCCTCCTCATTTCCCCCCATTGAGAATAGTTAAGCTTCCTTGTCCAGACTTAGGTAACGCTTTTAATTATTTGCTCAATGTTTTTGTCTTCCGGATAGTATGCTCCTTAAGAAAGCACATCTTTCTCACCCTTTTGTTGCCAATACGTACTTTGCAGTCAAATATTTCTTAAGAAAGTACTTCATCTTTTCCTAACACTTCACAGTAGAAGAGGTAATAGAAGGGACTTTGGAAAGAAAGGTTAAATGGGGACTATTTGAGAGTAAGCACATCTGTTATATTTTCCAATCAAACATTGAGGTTTTAATTTTCTGATTGATTGACCAGAAAAGTCTTACAAAGACATATTGACAACTAATACTTAAGCATTGTTTTCCCAGTGAGTTCTGCCTTGGTTGCTTTACTTGACTTATCTCATTTAACGGTGTAAGGTTATACCGTTATTTACCTGTTTCATAAATAAGGAAATTGAGTCAAGTGGCCATTAAGTGATTTACCCAAAGTCAGATAGTTAGGAGAGGCAGGGACATAATGACCACAACACTAGACTGCCCTTTTATTTGGTGAATTAACATTTATTGAAATACTAAATTTTACTAAATTGAAACTATCCTAGAATATAAGGACAAATAGTTTCCACTGATGCCATTTCATTTCTAGACTTTCCTGTCAGGATTAGTCCAAAAATGTTAAATCAACCTTAAGTTGCTTTATTTCTACTTCCCTCACATTTTTTAAGAAGCAGCATATGTACTGGTTAATACCATAGACTTAGTTACTTGCTCCCTAGTTCTTGGCTACAACTTAGAGAAAGAGGCACAGGTAAATTAAATGTTTTGTAAATAATTGAAATGTCCTAAAAATTTAACTAAAAATTTAAAAATCGAGTGATAAGCCTGATAAATAATTTCTTAAATGTCCGTTGCTAATTGAAATTTTGAAACTTACAGGGACCTTTCCTATGTGACTGTGTGCAGGGTATTGTTCTATATGAATAAAATTAATAATTTTATGGGCTTAATGACATTCCAATATTTACCAAACTAGAAAAAATAGTAAAAGTGTATATTATAGTATTCAACTATGGTATATACATGATCCACTAGATATGAACTTAATGACGTTGCATATACTAAATTCTCAGGAGACATGAAGCAACATTAACTTTCTACGACTGATGTTTATTACTGTACGTATGAAACACACCAAATCCAAGTTCCTCAATACAAGGGTGGGGAGAAGTGACGGTGAGTTTTTTCGTACTGACAAGAGACTTATTTTCCAAGTATACTGTTATAACACAGTTCCACCTCGCTGCTGTCTCAGCGATCATGCTTCTCCTCCAGTGACAGATGTGATCCAGTCCCTGGAGGCAGAAATTCTGGTGAAGACCTTTGGTGCAGTGGGATGGCAGCTACTACTTCCCCAGCTCACAGTACCGATGAGCTTGCACTGCCCATCCTGGGCGCATTGCAGTGGTCCTCCAGACTTTCCCTGCAACCAGCAAAGAGAGAAGTTCTCCTGGCTGCATGGTCTATAGTTGAGGCTAACCTCGAATGCACAGAATGATCAGACAAGGCATAAGTCACTCTTGCATCTCTTATTTCTACTCACAACAGCATAGAGAACCAAAGCCACTCAGGTAGTTGGCAGATGTTACAGATATCTGAATCATATCAAAATCCATATTTTCAAGGAGAGGCTAAAAGATACAGTGAGTATAAATTAATTCAATGCTGACAATAAAGTGTGCCGTGCAGAAAACTTCAAGCATCTACTAAATACAATGGCTAAATAATAGTTTTGAATTACATGAAAACCTCTTTATATCTTTAGAGCTACTTGAAGTAGGCACTTTGAGCTACCTAATTCAGCTATGAAATCAAACCATAAGAAATTATCATTTTTTAAGGTCCAAAACAGTTGGATATTACCAATTTCACATAGTTCAACTAAGCAAATGAATAATTCCTTCTGAGAATTGAATTAACTTCAAGTATTAAATTAATAATCACAGCACATAAATTTAGCAATGTACTTATTCTTTTCACTTTTCATTTTAAAATTACCATAACTTTATACCTCTTTTGTCAGCAAACACCCATTCATGAGATACACTGAAGAAAACTCCTACACTTATCAATGCAATCCTTGAATTACCACGCATGAGGATGATCCTGCAGCCCCACCACAAATATTGGTGTTTTTAATGTCCAGTCCCCAGTAGCTTCGATAAAATGTACTACTGATCAATGGTACCTCTGTCAGCTGCACAGTTTTAGAAAATTCATCTTCTAGTAGAAAATGAATAAAAACATATATAGCAACCTAGATAAATGCTTCTAAGTGATAAATAAAAATAGCCCTATAATATATATAAAGGTTAAGGATAATATATATAAAGGTTAAGGACACTTATTCTTTCCATTCAGCAATGTAATGATATTGTTAAATAATTTGTTTAAACACACACACACACACACAGAAGCAAACTGATATTATTACTCCACAGTGGCTTTTACAACAGAAATAACAACAAAAAATTTTATGTGGGTCTTTTGCCTTCAGTACAGTCCTAAGAAGATAGGAGAACAAATATCATTTTATAAAAGGAAAAAGACAAAGTTTACACCCAAATCAGTTGTTGACAAAACAAACAATACAAAAATCATATTTTCAAGTTAAATCCATACTTTCTTCCATTGCTTTCAGGGTTCTCTCATTCTTTTGACTTGAATTTTGTTTAACAGACAATATGTTTAAGTGCTGACTATCTGGAAGCTGACAACTTAAATTGCATTGTGACTTTGTCTTTAGTTTATCGGATATTTACTTGTAACTTGTTAATTCTGTTGCAGAATACAGTGGAAATGAGACCAGAGTTATGGGTTTGATCTTTACATGGGCTAGTTATTGTCACATAATCTTTATACCCATTTACCATTTTATCAGACTATCGTTTCAGAAAAATGTCTCACATCTTTGGAAATAGGCTCATATTTTCCAAGTATGGAGTTTCACTGTAGTAGTATACCGTTATGAAAACAATTTTGTGTGTGAGTGCGTGTGTTCACAGTGCAATTAGAGAGTAATTATATATAAATTAGACACACAAATATTTATTAAGTAATAAAATCACTAGAAATTCTCCACCACAAGTTTTTACAAGTATCAATGAACTACTATCAGTGAACTAACATCAATAAATATGATGGCCTAAAACCTAATCAGTCACCTTTAGATCCATTATGAAAAAGACTTTTTTTCTACTACCATTTTTATTAAAAATACAGAAAAATTGAAAATGAATAGACAATATACTCAGACTACACATATATTTGTTTGGATCCTAATGTTGGAAGAGGTGGTGAATATACTCACGATGTGGTTCAGTTAGTCCCCATCCAGCAGTCATACATTTGGAAAGTACATTTATTTTATTGTCTTTTCCTGGCAAACAGATTGGAGAAACAAACTCTCCTAATCAAAAAGATGAGAAAGAGGCCAATATCATTTAGTCCATAGGATTGATGTTAACATTGTTTGCTTTTCAGTGATGATTCTAGAAATATCTACTCTGATCTACAGTACCCTTTTTAACTCTGTAATTTAATAAGTCTCCCAGAAGATATCTATTAACTACCTAGAAGGCATCATCCCAGTTGACATGTTACTACTTTGCTCCAGGTATTTCCACATCCTCCCAGGACACTAGAAACACATGCCCTACACTGGAATGTGGGGCTCCTGGTTTCTCATCCACAATAGTTTTTAAAAATCTGTCTGCCTTTATGTCCACGTACTTCCAGGACATCACCTTATTGAATTTGAGATGATAGTGAAAGAGAATATAATTATCTTCTTTTTTCAACTATATAACAGGAGTGGGGAAAACCACATTTGTAGCAATTTAAACCTTTTATGCATCTTATAGCTAACTAAAGGCCTGGTGCACGGATTAGTGCACCGGTGGGGTCCCTCAGCCTGGCCTGTGGGGATTGGGCTGAAACCAGCTCTCCCATATTCCTCGAGGGGTCCCAGATTACGAGTGGGTGGTTCTCCAGTGATGCACCCTGGAATCGGGCTTGTCACCCGAGAACCACAGCTACCAAGTCACCACAGCTCAGCAGCTCCTGCGTTGAGCATCTGTCCCCTGTTGGTCAGTGCACGTCATAGCTACCGGTCAGACAGTTGAAGGGTCAGCCAGTCAGCTGGTCACTTAGGCTTTTATATATATAGATAAGTATTTATATTTAATTTAATATTTAATAAAGGCATGCTACAAACTATATTTATACATTATACATTTAAACATTCCCCTATTTTCTTACAAAATTTGGGTACACATAAATATTGTGCATTTATATGTGTGTCTCTGTGTGTATACACTACATACACAGAACACCAAATGCAGTGCTCCTGGTTTGTTGCCCATGTTGTGGTTTACTGTTGTTCCCTTTCTATGAATGATAAAGCCATGGTTCAGAACAATTACATCACCTGCCCAAGGCTGCCTGACTACTAGGTCATAGGGCCAGGTTAACACTTTTATGGTAGCTTTGGTTTAAATAAACATTTTAAAAGGACAGAATGTTAGTAAGTCATGAAGGGACAGAAAATTGAACATCTAATGGTTCAAATTCCTGTTCTA